AATGTACAGAATGTTCATATCAGCATTAGCATAATTGCCAAAAACATGAAACACCCCAAGTGTCCAATCAATGGGAGAATGGATGAATGTTGTGTTATTTTCTTACAATATGATAATACACAGCAATGAAAAAGAGCTACTGACACACACAAGAACTTGGATGAATCTCAAAAAAATTATTGAACAGAAAAGCCATGTATGCAGATGAATACATGCTATATATATAGCTCAACTTATGTAAAGTTCAAGGATAAGAAAAACTAATCTATGGTGATAAATGATTAGTGGTCTATGATCAGAGTGGTGGTTATCTCTGAGAGTCAGTGATTGGGAAGAGCTGCAAGGGAACTTTCTGGGACAATTAAAATGTTTTATATTTTCATCTAGGTGGTGGTTACATGGGTATATACATATAAAAAATTCATTGAGCTCTATAGTTAAGATCTGCATTTTACTATGTAGAAATTATACCTCAGTTTTTTAAAAACAAAGAATTTCTTAAACACATCATCTTATGAGCCTATGAGATTATTCCTTGGGAATATTTATATAGAAATGGTATTACTTGATCATTGGGATATACGTGTAGTACACAAGTATGCCCATTTCATTACATCTATGTCAACACTTGGAATTATTTATGTGGCCCATCTAATGAATATAAAGTGGTATTGTTTCTTGCTCTTTTTTTTTAAAGATTTTATTTATTTGTTTGAGAGAGTGTGAGAGAGAGAGCACGAGTGGGGAGCAGAGGGAGAAGCAGACTCCCCACTGAGCAGGGAGCTTGATGTGGGGCTCCATCCCAGGACCCTGAGATCATGACCTGAGCTGAAGGCAGACCCTTAACTGACTGAGCCACCCGGGCGCCCTGTTTCTTGCTCTTTCTAGTATCAGTTATCCATTTGGGTTTCCAAATGAGCATAAAGGAAATTTGCTCATTTCCTTTTCCATAGAGGCTTTACCCCCACTGAGATGCCCCTGGTTATGGGTGTTATTTACTATCTTCTGGATATTTGTTCCTATAGTAATTAACTCAGAAGAGTCTTCTGTTCTGAACGCTTAAAGTTTTTATTTGTATTCTGATGACTTCTATATTGACACCACTAGTTGCTATATTGTAACTGGATTCTAGTACCACATTTACCTGCATATTAGACAATTACCATAGAATATTCTACTTTATTCATCCTTACTTAGTATGTGAAGAATTGGCATCATCATTGCCCAAATCAGGAATTCTCATGTTATAAATTTTGTCAGATTCTGCTGTTTCTTGTTTCTTCCCTCTTTAGTTATCTTCTCTTACTAATTACTCTGCAATTCCTTTTTTTTTTTTTTGAAGAATACTATTCAGATATGCTCTCATCTTAATTCCTAGTAGCATAACCCAAAAGCAGATCTGTGTTTTCTTATGCCTGGATTATTCTATAGTTCCTAACGAGATTTGCAGATTCTGTTCTTCTGTCTAGTTCATCCTAAATGCTCCTGATAGATTTCATTACCTAAAACATTGCATTTACCTTTGTCATTGGCTTTTATGAAGTGAACTTACAATTATTCCAATATTACATAACACATGACCAGTGTGGCTCATGTATTTCCAGTTCAAGTTGTATCTGTACAGTTCCTTAATTCATGCGTTCCTCAAGTTTTCACCTTGTCTTTAATGCCTACCATAGATGAAGTTCGTCTCTGCATCTAGGATCTGTATTATCTTGTGTTCTGCCTATCCAGGTAATAGACACTTCCATTTTGTTTCATTTCAGTTTAACATCTATTCCATGAAATGGCAAATTTATTGCCCCTCTCCATTTCTGTTCCCCTGCCTCTCAGATGCTTCTGCTCCTAGTAATTTTTGAAAGTCCCTGAAAATAAGGGCCTCTATCTTATTTTCAGTGTTTGAACACTAAGCGTGAAGGAAATACTTACCAATATTAACTCATTGAATTTGTGGGGGATAAGAATATAAGAGGATTTTGCTATATTTCAGAGGGATTTTTAAAAACTCTACTGAGAGATTTCAGCAGAACATAGATTGTAGTTGGAAAGTAAAGACAATGGCATCAAATAATAAAAGTTTACTGCTTGTGTATTGTATTTCTATTATGATAGAAATCTATTAAAATGATGAGCAAAATGAATAGCACAGAAGTCTGCTTTTGAAATTTAGGGGAAAAAGTCTCACTAGCAATATGATCAGATTAATTTTCAAAGTAAAAGGCTCAAACTGCTTAATGAAGCATAAATATGTTTTTAAATGGCACAAAAGAAAATACTGAGAAGGCTAAATGGAGGAAGAGGCCATGAATGTGTCTTTTAATTTGAGAATAAATGGGACTTTTGGAGGCATTTTTGTGAGTGGCAAATAGAATGCAAGCTTGCACACACAGATCTTATCTAGACTGTTGACTCTCCATTTATGTACTGTTCCTTGAATCTGTGGGTCCAGGAAAGGTGTAGAGAAGCTTATTATTGCAAAAGCAGATTTTTTACAATGAAAATTGGTATTGGTGATCTAAACATTGTCCAATACAGCAGGGGTTTAGAAGTTAACTTAATTATTTATAAGTTATACTTTCTATAGGTATATTTATAAGTTAAAGTGAAAAGCAGAACCACTTCTGAAACCATGCCTAGGAATCCAGTGCTTAAGATCTACAGAATAAATTAAAGCCAAGTACGGGAGAATAAAAATGCAACTTAAGAGAAAGAGGCTGAGATTTTGGATGGGATATATATCCAGAATACAATATCAAAGCGACCAACAGGGGAAAACTGGATCTGATGACTCACAGCATTCTCACTATCTAAAATCTCTTGCTGGGGCGCCTGGGTGGCTCAGTCGGTGAAGCGTCTGCCTTCGGCTCAGGTCATGATCCCAGGGTCCTGGGATTGAGTCCCGCATTGGGCTCCTGCTCAGCGGGGAGCATGCTTCTCCCTCTCCTTCTGCCTGCCACTCCCCCTGCTTGTGTGCACTCTCTCTCTCTCAAATAAATAAATAAAATCTGTTTTAAAAATAAAATAAAATCTCTTGCTGCTGAAATTATGTGTATTTTTTCCATTTTAAAATTATCGAGAATCTAATATGTCTCATGCATTATACTGGTAATGGAAACATCTGTGATTCCCACTCTGGGTGAAAATAGTGTATTAATTATGTTAAAGCTTATTTGAAGTAATAGATTATAAGATATAGTGACTTAAATGCTAAAGAATTTTACTTCTCTCTTCTATAAAGTTTCTAATATCACAGGCCTTTGGAAAACCTCATTGCTCACATTTATTCCAGAATCCAGGTTCCTTCCATTACATAACCCCATCATCTCTTGGGTTGTTTTTTTTTTTTTTTTTTTGTGGCATCCGCATGTTTATATCTGTGTTACTGCCAAGTCCAGATTTTAGTAAGCAAGAAGGTAGACGAGGGTATAGAGAAAACATGCCTACTGTCTCAGTGCTCTGGCTTGAAAGTGGCACCCATCATTTTCTCTCACATTCTGTTGATGAGAACATTGTCACATGGCCATACCAATTTTCAGAGGAGGCTGAGAAATGTTATATGACTGGGCAGGCATATGCCTGAGTGCTCCTCTGTTAATGGGAAAGAATGATGAAACAGATTCTAGTGGACAGCTTTCAACCTACCACAGATAGCTTGTCTTCTCTCTGATTTTATGCTTCTTGTTAGATGTATATATTTTTAGGGCCAAGAAAACAATTATACCTAGATGGAGAGTTGGAGTATGGATATCTTGTTTATTGTTTGTATAGGACAGGATGTCTATGACTACAGTATTTTTCCTATAGGCAGGAATAAATTAGTTTTTTCTTGGTTTTATTGAGATATAATTGACATACACCTCTGTGTAAGTTTAAGGTGTACTGCATAATGACTTAACTTAAATACATTGTGAAATGATTACCACAATAAGCCTAGTTAAAATCCATCTCATAAAGATACCGAAAAAACAAAAAGTGTTTTTTCCTTGTAATGAGAACTTTTAAAATCGACTATGTTAGCAAATTAAATTGGTTTTTGATCACATTGACTTGGTATTGTTGCTAACAAGCAAAAAGGAGCAAGGGTAGTGAGGATTTAGAATCAATGGAGGACTGGGTGTTATACGAAAACAATGAATCGTGGATCACTACATCAAAAACTAATGATGGATTGTATGGTGACTAACATAACATAATAAAATTTAAAAAAATAAACTAAAGAAAAGCTAATGTGAGGGGCGCCTGGGTGGCTCAGGCGTTAAGCGTCTGCCTTCAGCTCAGGTCATGGTCCCAGGGTCCTGGGATCCAGCCCCACATCGGGCTCTGTGCTCCACGGGAAGCCTGCTTCTCCCTCCCTCACTCCCCCTGCTTGTGTTCCTGCTCTCGCTATGTCTCTCTCTGTCAAATAAATAAATAAAATCTTTAAAAAAAAAAAAAGCTTATGTGAACTTAGACTCTGAATCACCCCCTCCAAACCTAGTCTCTCCACAGATATTTTCCCTTAAAACCTTTGTCTTTTTAATCTTCAATCCCCCCTACTTTATATCTTTATATCCACCCTACTTTATATCCTACCAAAATAGAACTAGATTGCTTATGTTTGAACTCCAGTCTTCAACACTTAATAACTATGTTTTAGGGCAAATTATATAAATAACCATTCTGAACTTCACTTTTCTTATCTATAATAGGTAGATAATAATAGAAAATACCTCAAAGGTATTGAAAGGATTGAGTAGGGGTGTGTGTGTGTGTGTGTGTGTGTGTGTGTGTGTATACATATATGTATGTATATTTCTTAGAGCAATGCCTGGAACATCATAGATATTATGCAGGAACTTGGCACATGATAAATGCTGTATGTGTATCTCTTGTCATCATTGTGGCCATCATCATCATATTTACTGGTTTCCCCCTGTGTTCAATTTGGATTAGCTTATATGTACCTTTTAATCCTGTTATCTATTCTTTATGTCAATTTTACTTTTTCTTTCTCTTTTTAGATGGGAGGTTTAGGATTAAGACCTCACAAAAAAGAATTTCTGGAAAAGCTTCATTTCATAGTGAGATGGAGGGTGAAGATACAAGAGATGATTCATTGTATTCCATTTTAGAAGAACTGTGGCAAGATTCTGAACAGATAAAAAGATATCAGGAAAAACAGAGCAAACCTCTGAATCATGCTGCTTTCATCAATAAGAAAGTACTGAATACAGAGTGGGATTTTGAATATAAAGACAGTGGAAAATTTGTTCATCCAAGCCCAAATCATATTCCTTCACAGAAAAGACCCCATAAATGTGACTCATTGGGAAAGAGTTTTAGGCATAATTTGGACATACATATTCCTGGTAAAAACAATGCAACAAAGAACTTTGATAAAAATACTGGACATGGTCAAGTTTTCACACAGAGCTCTTCTTATACTAACCATGAAAATACTCATACAGGAGTGCAATTCTGTGAAAGTAATCATTGTGGAAAAGTCCTCGGTCTCAAACAAGCATTCAGTCACAATCTGAAGCTTCCTGTTGGGGAGAAAGCAGATATGTGTTCTGAATTTGGGAAGATCTTCACCCAGAAGTCACACCTCTTTGCACCTCAGAGAATCCACACTGTGGAAAAACCTCATGAACTTAGCAAATGTGTAGATGTGTTTACACAGAAGCCACTACTCAGTATATATCTGAGAGTTCATAGAGATGAAAAACTGTATATATGTACTGAATGTGGGAAGGCATTCATCCAGAATTCAGAACTAATTGTGCATAAGAAAACTCATACTAGAGAAAAACCCTATAAATGCAATGAATGTGGAAAATCATTTTTCCAGGTGTCCTCTCTACTTAGGCATCAGACAACTCACACTGGAGAAAAACTCTATGAATGCAGTGAATGTGGGAAAGGCTTCTCCCTGAACTCAGCCCTCAACGTACATCAGAAAATTCATACTGGAGAGAGACACCACAAATGCGGTGAGTGTGGGAAAGCCTTTACCCAAAAATCAACACTCAGGATGCATCAGAGAATTCATACAGGAGAGAGATCTTACATATGTACTGAATGTGGGCAGGCCTTCATCCAGAAGGCGCACTTGATTGCCCATCAAAGAATCCATACTGGAGAGAAGCCTTATGAATGCAGTGACTGTGGGAAATCTTTCCCTTCTAAGTCACAACTCCAGATGCATAAGCGAATTCACACAGGAGAGAAACCCTATATATGCACTGAATGTGGGAAGGCCTTTACCAACAGGTCAAATCTCAATACTCACCAGAAATCTCATACAGGAGAGAAGTCTTATATATGTGCTGAATGTGGAAAGGCCTTCACCGACAGGTCAAATTTCAATAAACACCAGACAATTCATACCGGAGAGAAACCCTATGTTTGTGCTGATTGTGGGAGGGCCTTCATCCAGAAGTCAGAGTTAATTACACATCAGAGAATTCATACTACAGAGAAGCCTTATAAATGTCCTGAGTGTGAGAAATCCTTCTCCAAGAAACCACATCTCAAAGTACATCAGCGAATTCACACAGGAGAGAAACCATACATGTGTGCAGAATGTGGGAAGGCCTTCACTGACAGGTCAAATTTCAATAAACACCAGACAATTCATACTGGAGATAAACCCTATAAATGCAGTGACTGTGGAAAGGGCTTCACCCAGAAATCGGTCCTGAGTATGCATCGCAATATTCATACATGAAAGTAACCCTTTTTCTTACAAATGAGGAAAGCCTTATCACAGAAGTCAGGTCCAAGTGTGTGTCATAAAACTCATCCAAGACAGATCCTATATGAATACACTGCATGATAAAAAGCATCCATCAGCCTCTCCCTGAGATAAGAAAAATTATTCAAAAGAGACCCTCTAAGAATGCATTGAATAAAAGGGACTTCTCATATTTGCATGGTCTCACAAAATATAATAGAATTCATACTGGGAAAAATGCTGTCAGTTTGATGCATTCAGAAAAGCCTCCCTGTAGAAAGTATTATAAGGCAAATTGTTACCAAATTCTTTATAGATGGAGTGAGCAAAAGTACATAAATGACAGTCATGTTTACTGTGTCATATTAAGCAATGTAAAGTGGCAACAAAATGAAAGGAAGAACAACAAAATAATGTATTTGATGTGTAGACCTACTCTCAGTTCTTCAGGGTGTTTGTGGCAGAACACATTACACAACAGGAGGAATCATTGAATTGAAATTCTTTTTGGAATTTAATATAATTGTGTCTGTCCAATATCTTTCCTATTGAATCCTCCTGTGAATCCACAGTTTTAAAGTCATTATGGTTTTATATATACACACATCTGCAGATATAATCTCACTTGAACACATAAATATAATCCTATAATTCATGCTGGTTTCCACAACAGTTTATCTTCTTTCCTTGTGGTACAATGCAAAATAGCCACAGACCTCTCCCATCCTTTTATGCATGTTACTCTTTTTTTTTTCTTTGATTAAGAGGTAGAGCTCTCTCTACTCCTGGACTCTTGAGCTTGGCCATGTGATTTGCTCTGGCCTTTGCTATGTTACTCTTTTTTTTTTTCTTTGATTAAGAGGTAGAGCTTTCTCTACTCCTTGACTCTTGAGCTTGGCCATGTGATTTGCTCTGGCCAACGTACATTAGCAAAGAGATTCAAGAGGCTGGAGAAAAATCTGCCTCGAGCCTTGTCTTCTCTTGCTGCTCTCTGGAATTCTGAGAACTTCATGTGAAGAAACTCAAGAGTATTCTGCTGGGGGATGAGAAACCACACGGAACAGAGATGGGCCAGCACAGATGAGGCCTCTTAGAACAACTGTCAGGCAGGAGAGTGAGACCTTCCTCAGCCTCCAGCCCCTGCCAAACTGGCCCACACCGAAAGAGCCATACCAGTTACCCCAGCCAACCTGAAGAATTATGAGATACATAAAATGATTATTGTTTTAAGCTACTAAGTTTTGGGTACTTTGCTGCACAGAAAATGCTAAGTAATACCTAAAAGTGTATACACATCGGGGCTGGGGGTGGATTATACAAAACATAAGGTGTGGCATTAGCTCTGGGCCTGGGTGGCAGGTGGAGACTGGAAACAATGAGGAAAACTGTTAAGAAAGGCTGGAAAAGATGGCAGCTCATGTTATTTACTAGGGAAAAGAATAGCAAAACAGCATGCTCTGTGAGAAGATAGAGAATATACCAAATGAACTTGTGGAGAATGTTGGAAATACCAATTTGCTTCTTTTTAGCTGCATACGGTGAGGTACCAGGAGAGAGATGAACTAAGGAAATAACTGTTCCATTTACAAGCAGAATTCAGAAGAAATACCAAAAAAGCCAGGACTTGCTGGGTTGGAAAATAACTATTTCTCACACATCTCCAAGTCTCTCCAGCCATCAAAATATTCTCACGGTGAAAAATGGTCTCAGGGTAGGGATCAAATCATGGATGCAGCTACAGGACCCTTTGTTAAAATGTGTGAAATATTTGAGTTGGTGTTTGAGAGACTCTCTCAGCTAAACCCAAAGGCTTCTAAAAACTTCATGACATTGTCCAGTAGCCTGAAACATTGCTAAAGTAGAGAGGGGCCTGTCATAAAAAGAATTGTCAATGTGGCATTTGGGGCATGGACTAAATACAGACGAGATTCGTGGAACACCTTTAAGTTTCTAATAGAGTTTTACTACCTCCGGGTTGGACTTAAAGGAATTGAAACAGTCCAAAATGAAAAGCAGCCTTGGACTACCTTCTCTAACTTCTATGAACATGAAGCAAGCAGAGAAAGTTACTCAGCTGCCATTTCTTATGGGAAAAGAAGGATGTCTCAGAGAGAAGACCCAAGAACAATATATTAAAATGGACTGGGAAGCTATTCCCAGGTAGAACTGTGACCCAGTCAAGAAACATCTGCCACTGGAGCAGGGAGACCTGACGACGTTTGTTCTGTGCGACTTCAGAATTGTTATGGAACAGTGACTAAGATGTGCTTCTTGTTCCTCCCTTCTTTTAAATGAGAGTATCTACTGCAGTTCACAGTCCCTGTCTCACCAGTGTGTGTGTGTGTGTGTATGTGTGTGTGTACGGGGGGGGGGTGATGGTCATATAACTTGTCATTTAGCTCACAGGTTGCTGGATCAAGAACCTAAGAAATTGCACCCAAGGAGCTTCAGCCACATCTGAACCTGATACAGAAGACTTGAGGCCCTGGATTTGAGCCTGATGCCCTAATTTGGGATGAGACATTTGGAGGTCTTGGAATGAGGGTGAACATATTTTGCATGGTGTGGTAATATAAATAATTAATGACCAGAAGATAGATTGTGTTAGATAGAAAAATGTTACAAATTTCTACCCTCTGTATATGTGTGTCCCTTTTCAATCTTTATTTTGCTTTGTGTTTCAGTTGGGGTAATTTCTATTAACCTATCTTCAGGTTCACGAATTTTAACCCGTACCCTGTTCGATCTGTTTAACCCCTACTTGTTAGGGCTACTGATGAACCCATTAAAGGCATTCTTCATCTCAGTTATGTTTTCTTTATTTCTAGTATTTCCATTTGACTCTTACAGTTTTCATTCTTCTGCTGAAATTCCCCATCTGTTCATACCTGTTGTTCACATTTCCCACCATCCTCTCTAACACATTAATCATTGTTAATTTCAATTCCCTACTTGATAATACTAACAACTGGGTCAGCTGAGTCTGGATTTTTTTATTGCTCTGTCTCTTAGCAGTGGACTGTTTATTCTTGCTGTTTTGCATCTAATAATTTTTGGCTGAATGTCAGATGTTGTATGTAGGAGAATAGAAACTGAGGTAAATAATATTTATTCCTGGAAATAGTTATGACTGCTCTTCTGACAAATCATTAAGGGGGGAGGGGGTGAGTCCATCTAGTCGGAATTTGGGCTGGGTTTAGGTTTTGTTGCTGTGGTACCTTCATTGTACCATAGACTTCAAATTTCTCAAATATTACCATGGGCTTAGGGTAGGCACTGGTTTTCCAGATAATTTTTCTCAATATTCTTGTACCACCCTTGCCTTTAGGCCTTTCCTGTGTTCCTGCATCTCAGGGAGGATCTCTCTCCATGCCCGTGTCTCTCCCTTAGTAATAGACTGCTGTTATTACTTGGGTCTTGGTGACCTAATGAATAGGGGTCAGGAGTTGTCCTGGGCCAACCCCAGTTTTAGACAGGACTTGTATCCCTAGGTCTTGAGGGTGGAGTTTGTTTTTTTTTCCAGTGATCCTGCCTCTCCCCATTGGTAAACGGCCTTTAGTGGTCTCAGCTCAGGATGATTACCCGCCCTTCCCCCATGAATGGAAGTTTTTTTTTTTCCTTTTCCTTTTTCTCTAGCCACAGCAGATCTGCACCTGTATCCTGGGGGTGACTGGGTTTGCATCACTTCCCCCAGTGGTTTAAGGCTTTTGTTCTGTAAGGAAGTAGGGTCCCACTGGGGCTTTGTGCCATTTCTCTATCAGCAGCTGTCCCCTTGCAGGCCTGCACCACTGAGAGAAGCTTTCTCCAGTCTCCCTCCCTACCCCCATTATTACTGGTGAGTATCCAGTGGAGGTCTGTAGCAAAGAGCCTGCAAGTAAAGGCCGACTGTCCTTAGGTCTCCAGTTCTCAGGGGTTCTATATTCTCATACTATCCCACACTCAGCCTTTAAAACTTCATTAAAACCTCTTGCTGAAATCTTACTGCTGCTATGGTGGACCCATCTTCCTTCTTGCTTTGCCACAGGTGACCCAGTGACAACTTCCTATCTCCTTTGAGGCACTTGTCTTATACATCAAGCTAATTGGTTGCTCTATGGTCTTAGTTCTTTGATGAGTTCAAGAAAAGTTATGATTTTGTAGATTGCCCATATTTTTTTCTTATTATAAGAATGGGAGCTATGCTTTTTCCAGATGTCTACATCCCAGGCAGAAGACAGAAGTCTGGATGGTCTCCTTTGGCCATTAATATCAGAATATATGCCCCCCTTTCAATGTGACTCTTCCACTTCACCCATCAGGAGATGGAGTCCATTTCTCCAACCCTTAAAACTGGGCGTGGCCATTTCTTTGGCCAATGGGACATTAGCAAATACGACACAAGCACATGTTTGAGAAGTGCTTACACATTGAGGTTTGCCCACTTTTGCTCCTCTTTGGAATCCTAAGGACAAGTGTGAAAAGGCCCAGGTTGTGCTATTAGATGATGAGAGACTTCATGGAGCAGTGATGGAATAGAGATGAACCATCCCAGTTGAGGTTCCCTATACCAACGAGATTTTCATCTGCCAGACATGCAGATGAAGCTATACTAGCCATCCAACCCTGGTCAAGCCCACTGTGGTCAGTAGCATCTGAGATGACCCTGCATGATCCCCATTTCCTGGTATCCACACCTTTGTATAATCCCCTCCTCGAGCTTGGGCTGGATTTAGTGACTTGGTTCTAGTAAATAGAATGAAGCTGAGGTAATGGGATGTCACTTCCAGGGTTAGGTTACAGAGAAACTGTGGCTTCTGTTTCGGGTACTCTCTCAGATGGCTCACCCTAGGGGAAGCCAGCTGCCATCTCATGAGGCAGGTCTATGGAGAGACCCATGTGAGTGAGTTTGGGAGCATATCCTCCCAGGCTAGCCTTCAGATGAGACCATAGCCCTAAATGACAACTTGGCTGCAACCTTATGAAGATCTTCAGCCAGAGACACCCTTCTGAGCCTCACCTGAATTCCTGACTCACAGAAACTGTGAGATAATGAATACTTGTTGTTTTAAGCTGCTAAATTTTAGGGTAACCTGTTACATAGTAATAGATTAGTAATACACTGGCGCAGAGTAGAAAAGCTCTGCCATCCATCCCACCCATCCCAGACAACTCATAGAATCATTGATTAAGTATTGATTGTTTTAAGTGCTAAGTTTTGGGTGGCTTGTTATCCAGGAAAAAAAGCTAACTAATACATTTAATATTTATTGAATTT